AAAAAATAAGAACCAAGATACATCATGTAAAGGTCCAAGATCCCAACGGTGAATGTAACTGTATCCTATAGCTAAAATGTACCAATAAATTCAATGGAAAAAAAAAAATGGCCCCTGCCTACAGGGAAGGAGTCACTCCAGGCCAATCATCTGGCTCCACCACATCCCCGCCCAGCCCTTATACACCTCGCACACCCAGCCCCTGGTTGCTTTCTAGCCATTGTTATAGACAGCCCAGCGGCTGTGTCCCTTAATAAAAGCCCCGCTTTGAGTGTACTTGTTTTGGCTCATTTTATTTCTCTCATGCAGAATGTATAACTGCACGGCCTGGGAAGTTTTTCTCTTCTGCTCCGGAGGGGGTCTGACACATTTAAGAGCCTCGATGCAATCAAGAGCGCGTATCCACTTTAAGATTCTCACAGGTTCCACTCCACGCCATGGTGTGGGCTGTTGTACAAGAGTTGAATGCTTTGTAGTTATTTCTGCTTTTTAAAGAAAATGAAAATGCATTCCAGGACTAGTAATTTCAAAGCAAGGACCACGTACGTTGTGGCTGTCTTCCGTCTGTGCCCAACTAACCGCCAACCTCAGGGCCATTAACCAGGACTCTCGCTACTGCTCTGCAGAGCAGCGTGGCAGGAGGTACAGGCGCTGCTTCCGGAGCTCGCCAACACTTCCGCACGCTACACAGCGGCGCTCTTCCCTTCCCGCCAGCCTCTGGCTTGCGCAAGCGTCAGGAGGCAGGGCTAGTGCTCGGCCGCCCTGACCCCGAGGGGGTCCATACGTCACTGCGCCGCGCCGGGCACTATTTTTCATACAGTTACCCGCCTCCCGGAAGGAAATCCGTGATCATGGCGACCGCGGCGGAGCAGTGGGTACTGGTGGAGATGGTACAGGCGCTTTACGAGGTGGGCTCCGCGGCCTCGCCGGCCCTGGGGAGTGGATGACGGATCGTTTGAATCTGTGGTCGGAGAACTTAGCGACACTGAGTCATGCCCCGACGGACGGCGGTCCTGGATGACTGGGCTCCCCGAGTTCCCGGTTCCGGCCACCGAGTCTAGGCTGTTGGGAGGGGTTCATCGGAGCAGGTCCTGTCCAGGCGCTGGAAAGTGCCCCGACACTTGGCAGGGGGCGCGGGTTGGAGAGCTTTAAAGTCTCAATCTGGAGGTGTTTTAGGGGAATCAAGTCTCAGGAAATATGAAGAAATTATCTGAGAAGAGATTGTGATAAACTGGATACTCTTTGTGGGGGTTGGGAGAGGGTAGTAGGTTAGAAAAGCCGCGTGATTTAGTGTTTACGAATATGAAATAGTTTGTCATTTCCGCACATGCATCCCATTTTCTATCTTGCAAAGATCCAGCTACTTTAATACATTTTTAGAAAAATAGTTTAGTTTTTGCTTGTTAACTTTGAAAGGCTAGCTATCCCAGATATGTGAGATAATATGAAATCAAAATGTCAGTATTAAGAGAATGCTTATTAATTTAACACCCTGGACTTTCTTGTAGAACTTCTGCATCTTCTATATCAGGGCTTACATTCATTTAAAATAAATTTCACTTTTCTTTTGATAACTTCTTTGGAAACAGTGTTGCAGCTCGCTGGGAGAAAATGATAGTATCTTCCATTATAAGACATACCCAGGCAGAATTCATTGATTAATACTGGAGATAGCATACTTGGCCCTCTCCTGTCCTCATAGACAACATTAGGTTAGTTATAGTGATTTAGATAAAAACCATAAATAATTTTTTCAGAAGTGCATTAATTTTCAGTTACATGTTTGGCCCCTTTTTGAAGTAACAGTGGAACTTCTTATACCCTGAAAGTGACCAACAGGAAGAATTGAGAAAGTTCCTGAGGCCTAAAGGAAGTGGCGTTTGTGATTTTTATTAATTTACTCAAGTAGTTCCTCACCTTTTCTTAGAGTGATTTCTTTGTGAGGTGAATTGTGTAATGATGTGAAGTGGACTGTTTAATGATATCTGCTAAATTCCAATTATTGAGAAAACTAAGAGTATTATACTTCTTCCTAAATGAACTATATTTAAAGGGATCAGCAAATTTTAAAAATCATCTTAAGGAGAGATTTCTGATGTGTTTCCAATTTCTGTGTACTTTGTAAAATTTGAGGACGTTTGTATAGTACCCACCCCCCCAAAAAAAAGCTAGGGAGGAGGGGTAGCATATGTATGTACTTTTAAAGTTGTGCTTTGGCCTGAAAATTTACACACATGTTTGTTGGCAGTTAACCAGACTCCAGCTTCTGGCTTGGTTGTTTTGTTTTTAAACTATGGTAAATCATTATCACTTCTTTTTGTCTGATGCTTGAAAATAATTTAAGTTTCTAACTGCCATTTTTAAATGATTTTTCCAGTAACAACCCACTGGAGTAGAGCAACCCGCTACCAACTGACTGGGGGTTTAGTTAATATCTGGAATTTTCCACATAAGCCAGCCTACTCTTTATCCTAAAACATAAAATTGAACAAAGATCTGTGACAGTAAATTTCATTAAGATATTTTTGTTTGTGTTGACATGGAAAACAGAATATGCTTTTGGGTGACTGGTAGAAAAGAGAACTGCTATTCCTTTAAGCACTTAAAGCTAATTTGCCCCCTTTTCCATATTCCAGGAAGGATTTAAGGAGATTTATTGGGAATACAGAAAATGTACATTGTGTGAAACTTTTTAAGACTTGTGGAAGCTGGTTTTCACCTAACTCTCTTAGCTTATCCATGAGTAGTTAGAGGTGATAGAAGGATTGTTCAGCTGTGAAATGTTTTATTGCAATCATTTCCTACTGGTAAGTATTTAAATTAACTGAAAGATCTAATAGTTTATATTGTGTTAAATACTGGGATTCTGTGTCATATTTTACTTTTTCAACTACATTTTTATTCCTAAAGAACTTTTAAAAGCCAAAGTAATAGAAGTTTCTCATGTAAAGGAGAGATTGCCTATTGTTAACAATGAGAAAAGGAATGAATAGACATTAAGGGAGTTTTGAAAGTAATGTGTAAAAAGTAATAGGTTAAAGGTTATGAGAAGCAGTATGTACAGGTTTGCTAAATTTTATGTATAGGGTTTGAAGTGTTTATATATGTTTTTGTTTTTTACTCTTAGGCTCCTGCTTACCATCTTATTTTAGAAGGAATTCTAATACTGTGGATAATCAGACTTCTTTTCTCTAAAACATACAAATTACAAGAACGATCTGATCTCACAATCAAGGTAAGAAATTAAATTTTTTGTTAGATGTGTGATTATAACTTGCATCTTTCAAAAAAAGTTGTGGTGACTCTATATTAAAATGTTTTCTGTCATGTAAGGAAATCAAGTGGAATCAAATAAAAGGTAGACAAAATATGGAGAAAGTCAGTATTCAAAGGAATGCCATATTTTGATCTGTATTCTTTGCTGGAAGTAAAGGGCAGCCTGACAGATGATTTGAGGGACACATGAGCAGTAACCGCATTTTTATTGTCCAAATGAAGGTTGTATTAGTTGCTCAGGTGGTCTTTCACAAAAGAGATTTGAGTTGGAAAATTCCAACCTACTCCCCATCTCAAGGAATGTGTTGTATAAGAGGAAAAATTAAATCCTGAGCATAAAAATAGAAGTTTCTTAAATTGTTGGGTTACAGGCCAGAGATTTAGCTCAGTAGTGCCAAGTCTAGCTCATAAGCGCAAGCTCCTGATTTCAGGGCGTGAAGGGGGCAGGGGGGATTGTGAAGTTACATACCAAACCCTGCATTCAAAAAAGACTTCAGCTCTTTAGGAAAGAGGTGAAGGTGGTAAGTACACAAAACTAGAGAAGGATTCTGTTTCCTTCCAGCTACAAAAGCTAGATAGGGGGTTTTGGCAGTGTATTCATTATGAATTTCCATTCCAACACATAGTTTAGATATGGCTGGAATCAGGATAAAGTCATGAGCACGATGGTGTGTTATAACTCCTTCTGTCCTGTAGGAAAAGGAGGAATTGATTGAAGAGTGGCAGCCAGAACCTCTGGTTCCTCCTATCTCCAAAGATCATCCTGCTTTCAACTACAACATCGTTTCAGGGTAAGTGGATTTTGCTACTTGAAGGACTTGTGTTTGGTTTCCTGTAGCTATATTTGCTGAAGAGTATACTGGTTTATGTAGTGCTCCTTTTTCTTCCCCAGTACTAGGGCCTGTCATGTGCTAGGCAAGCACCTAGTCCTACAACTTGAACTATGTCCACAGGCTTTTTCATTTTTTATTTTGAAACAGAATCTCACAAAGTTGCCCAATCTGGCCTCAAACTTGTGATCCTCTGCCTCACCCTCCCAAGTAGCTGGAGGTACAGAGTGTGCCACTGGTCCCAGCAGTGTTCCTTTTTTAACTGAAGCAGTTAGTTACTTCCAGAAATTTCTGGGAGTATTTGTTTCACATACAGAATTTTTTTTTTAGGGATGGTCTAGGCTTTCTCAGGAGTCTTTCTGTAGTCCACTAATACAAGGGAGAAAACCATTTTAGGAAACAACCAGTGCCAGAGAGAGGAGAAGGAGCTTCTGAGCTAATGGTGATAGGAGAGTCATGGATTTGGGCATTAAAGTTTCTTCATTTTCCCTCCCAAACTAATGTAAGCACATGGTAATATTTTAAATGTTCAGAGACGTTTAAAATGAAAGGCAACAGACTCTGCTTTTCCCCAGCCTGGTTTACTTCTGGTGTTAGATCTATTCTGAATTGCATTCACAACTGTAGATATTAATAGCCTGCAGAGACTACTGTTCCTTGGTTCTTCAGCTATACACAACATCTGTTAACCTCGAGAATTTGAATTATGTAACTTCAGTTATGGTCCTTCCCTCCTAGCTTCTAATTCAGATCTATTTCTAGTTCTTATATTACCTTTGCTTTAGTATATGTGTTTGCCCCCTCCCTCCTAGCTTCCAATTCTGATCTGTTTTTAGTTCTTATATTATCTTTGCGTTAGTATGTGTTTTTTTTTAAATCAAGAAGTATTTTAAATATGCAGAAAACAGACACCTTTATATCCACCACTAGTTAATAAGCATTATCATTTTGCTATCTATATTTCAAATATATTTTTTAAAAGAAAACTTTATAAATTCAGGTTACTCTTGGTTTGCATAAAGGATAAGCTCTGTCTTGAAAGTAGTGGATGTCTCTCCTTTGCACATACTTATAATTTTATTGTAAATACCTGTTGTCATCTACATATTTGCTAATATGTAAATATTTGGTTTTCTGTTTAAAAATTGTATTCCAAGATATTTTCCTAATTATATTCTTCTACTTCTAATTTAAGAGTTTTTACTTCTATGGATCTCTTTAATCTTATAAAAGGTACATGTTTCAATTAAAATTTACCAGTCTTGTTTCAGGGATGTAGCTCAGTGGCACCACACCAGCCTGGCAAGTACAAGGTCCTGAGTTCGATCCCCAGTACCAGGAAAAAAGAAAGTGAAAAAATTTACCAATCTTTTATACCTTAGTCTTTTGAGGAATTAAGAAATTCTGTTCTACCCTACCCTAAGGTCTGATTTGACTGTTTCTTTATGATAGTTGTCTCTGTCTTATTAGTTGAATATTCCATTCTTTACTTACTGGAAATTTCACTTCCATTTTGTACCAAATACCCTTATTAAGGATCCATTTCTGACATATCTATTCTTTTGGAATTCTTGTCTCTTCATATACCAGAGTCTTGCTTATAAATGCCACGGCTTTATAACAAATTTTGACTGGCATGAGCCCTTAGAATTTCTTGTTCTTCAGAATTGGCTAGGCTTTATTGCTCTTTATTCTTCACTAGTTTAAGTTTAGCTTATCAGATTTGACCAAAAAAAGGCGTTTGAGTTTTTATGAAATATTTGTTGAATTTGTGGATTAACTTACAGAGAATTAGTATCTCACTGATTGTAAATCTTACCACCATTGTATGTGGTTCGTCATTTATATACTTGGGTTTTTATTTCCTGCAATATAAATATATAATTTTCATCATAAAGACTTGGCTTATCTTTTTTTCTGACTTTTCTTTTGAAATATTTGCAGATTCCTATGTCGTAAGAAAAAAATCCGCAAAGACCCTTGTGTTTATCAGCTTCTTGACACTGTAACAGAATACTTGAGATAAACAATTTAAAAAGAGGAAAGACTTATTGGGCTTACAGTTTCAGAGGTTTTGGTCCGTGATCACTTGGCCCTGTTGCCTTTAGATCTGTGGCCAGGTACATCATGGTGGGGAGCATGGGGTGGATGCGGCTGCTCACTTTATGGCAACTAGGAAGCAAAAAGAGAACGCTAGGGGCCAGATCGAATGTCCCTTTCAATGGTACACCCTAGTGACGTAACTTCCTCCCACTAGGCTCCACCTCCTAAGGGTCCACCATTTTTCCTCTAGGACCATGGTCTGGCCACCAAGCCTTCAGCATGTGGGCCTTTGGGAAATATCTGAGATCCAAACTACACCACCTGAATACCTGTTACCCAGTTTCCTACAGTGATAATGTCTTACATAACTATTGTGCAATGCCACACCCAGGAATCTGACATTGCGTATATTTTAATAGATATTATCTCTGAGTACCAGGGAGTTTTTTGGTATGAGAGGAGTCTTTTTCTTTCTGTTCCTTAATGTACTAGCTAAGACACTTTCCATTCAGTATTAAGTAAGAGTGGTGTCAGTAGCCATCTTGTCCTGTACTTGATGTTGAAAGATAATCTATGTCAAATTACAGCCATTCTTTTCCTAGTTTGCTAGGCAAATTTTTGTTTGAATCAGAGTATCAAATTTTATGAGATACTTACTCATCATCTATGACTTCTCTTGTCAGTTACTGTGTTAAACTTTTCTGATAGGTTCTTTTAGTTAGGCATATCATACTTCAAAATTTTTTCAAAATATACCTACCACTCTACCTTAGTCCAGATGTCTACTCTCTATTTGGAGGAATTACTCCCTATTTCTTGTGCTTTTTTTCTGGTATTCCCTCTCGTTTTCTAAGGAAGTTGCTTACGCTGTTTGTTATCTGATGATTTTCCTTTAGTTTCCAGTTTTCATTGTATCCATTCGTCATAGACTGCCTATATAAAAACATACGCACACTTGTTCTCCCAGGCCTGTAGTAGCCCTTCTGGGGCCTTTGTGCAGAGTTGGAACAGAGCTTTATTATTTACGTTTTTACAACTTATATAATTTCATGCATTATTTAGGCTGTTGCTTTCTTTTTTTGTACACTTATGTTTTCCCTGGAGTTAATCTTCCCTTTGCTCACTTACTTGGCTCTGTGTACTAGTGTCTGGTTCATCCTTATCTTCTTCCAGGAGTATAGATCTCTATTGAGACTGTTGAAACCCCTTATCTACTGGATTCTTTTTCCTTCTCAGAGCCCTCTGCCGTGCTGCTCCAAGCCTAACTGGCTGCTGAGCTCCGCTGCTGTACAGAGTGACCCTGTACTCCCCCATGATCAGAAGCTCAGGAGATCCTTCTGTGCTCTCTGGCATTGGCTGTTTCCTGTCTCGGTTTCCTCCCTTGTATTAGTAGATTGTAGATAAACTCCCAAGAAGGATCTGTGGACTGTGGACGGTAAATTTTACACATCTTAAAATTGTTCATTTTACCCTTTTACACTATACTGATTATTTTATCTGTTTTTATTAGTCTGTTAAATACCTCAGTATCTGCTGATCCTTAGTATCAGTTTTTTTCAGTGTGAAGAATATTTTTATTGTATTCAAGATTACTATGTAAATTGTTTGTGAAAATTATCCAAAGGATGATTTTGTTAATATTGGTAAATTGTTACTTTAATTTATGCAATAGCTATTTTCATTCAGTGCTAAGTTGATAAAGCACTGAGTTATTGTTACTTTGATTTACACAATACCTATTTGAATTCAATACTAAGTTGACAAAGTACTGAGTTGAATTTACTTGAACTTTTATTCATATTAATATTACTTATTTTACTTTTATTCATATTAATTTTACTTATCTTGAATTGATTTTTTTCTAAGTAGCAGCTTTGAGATATTCACATACCATGAAATTTATTCTTTTAAAATATACAGTGAACCTGGTTTTTAGTATATTCAGGAGTATACAGTTCTCATCACTAATTCGAGAACATTTTTTTATCTCTTGCAGTAGAAATCCCAGTCACTCTCCAGTAATTCCTCCCTCCCTGTTCCTCATGCTCTGGCAACCACAGATCTACTTTCTGTATTGATTTGGCTATTCTGAATATTTCATATATAAGGAATCACAATATGTAACCTTTTACGTTGAGCTTAGCATGTTTTCAAGGTTCATCCATGTTGTAGCATGTGTCACCACTTCCTTTATGTGATAAATAATGTTCCATTGTGTGGATGTGTCACTTGTTTATATGTTCGTCAGTTGACGGACATTTGGGTTAGTTCTCCTTAAGAGTATATGAAAAATAAAATACATGAATATAAAAATACGTACATGAATGATATGCTTTGAACATTTTCATATGGTTACATGTTTTAATTTCTCTTGGATATATACATACTTTTGTTGTATGATAACTATATTTAGCATTTTGAGTAACCACCATACTGCATTCCAAAGTGGCTTTATCATTTTTCATTCCCACCAGCAGTGTAGGAGGATTCCAGTTTGTCTACATTTTCACTAACACTTGCAATAATGTCTTTTTTATGATAGACATTCTAGTACATCAAAGAGGTATTTCATTGTGGATTTAATTTGCATTTCCCTGATGACTAATGATGTTGAGAATCTTTTCATATAATTATTAGCCATTTCTATATTTTTGAAGAAACGTCTACTTAAATCACTTGCCCATTTTTTAATTGAGTTGTCTTAACAGTTGTTTCTTTTTTGGAGGGCACCAGTTCCTTATCAAATACATGATTTGCTAATATTTCCTCCATTCTATGTGGTTTTATTTTACTTATTTGATAGTGTTCTTTGAAGCACGGAAGTTTTTAAATTTAACATAAAGTCCAGTTTATTTTTCCTTCTGTTGCTCTTGCTTTTGTGTCATACCTAAAAATGTTTATGCTTAATCTAGGGTTAT